AATTATAAAATGAATCTAATAAAATGTACAAATGTATCCAGAGTCTTAAGATTTTTATCACTTATAAGGAATATGAAATAATCAGTTGGATCAACAACAGTTAATGATAAGAAAAGCAAATCTAAAGCTAATTTCCACTGCTGTTACTTTTCATTAAGGGTGAAAAATATGCTTAAGATTTGGAATATTCAGCATTAAATGAATGTAGGTCTATTCTACGAGAGGGATTCGTTTTATTGGTTTATCTTTACCATCTTTGCTCAAACATCTGGATAGAAAGAAGGAATATATTTCCTCTGACACTATATCCTTTATTGTCCTTTATTGAAATTTGAAATCTAACTTCTAGTTAGACTTGAGCTTGCACAATTATGCCTATACAATTATGATTGGGCTTTGTTTATATTCTGTGCTGAATACTGTTCATTCATTGGTATGTTGTCCATCATTTTGTGAATTTCTGTCTGTGAAAACATCCTATACAAATATATTTTACTTAGTTACTTACCTTATTTGATGATACATGCTACAAGCCCAGAATAAATTCATAAATCCATCTTTCAAGATGACCAATATTTTATGTAAATAGAGGCCACATTTGTGCACTTTAATCAAGGTACAGCACAGTACAAATGTACACTGATAAATAGTTAGAAGACTAATTAAAAAAGATGAACTGAAGGGACTAATAGTTTATCTGAAGAAATAGTAAAAATATCTCAGATAGTGTCAACAGGATAAGCATTAAGTTCACTCTTGTAGAGTGCAAGTCATTGTTAAAAACCAGACAAAAAGTCTTGCTTCTATCTTTTCAATTAGCTAATTCAAAGAAAAATGACAAAAATGTCATATATATATATATATATATATATATATATATATATATATATATATATATATATATATATATATATATATATATATATATATATATATATATATACAGTATATTGGACGAAATGTATATGTTGTATATACCCCATGCACCTTTTCTTCCTTTAGCAACTTCTTCTTTTTGACTCATTGACCTGATGTAACGAGTACATTTCTCCACAGTGAGATAAATAAAGTTAATCAATCTATCAATCAATAATGAATAAAAGCAACTCTAATGCTCTATGAGGGCTCGCCTCTGTGATCCAGACATGCAGATAAAGGCAATGGATAGGGTTGGGAATTGAAAAGATTTTCACGATTCCGATTCCCTTTTCGATTCTATGAAACGATTCGATTCTTTATCGATTCTTTTTTCGATTCCAATTTGGGGAAAAAGGAGAACAAACAGTTTGATTATCAGCATCAACTTTGTTTACTTAACTATTGCACAATCTTACAAAATCAACAAGATCAAGATGTCCACAGGAAATGTGAAACTGGAGTAACATCCGTGTTTAAATGAAAAATGAATACAAGAACAAACTTAATAACCAACAATGTCTAATAACAAATGATGGGATAATAACCTATTTTAAATAACAAAAAATACTAATTATAAAACAGTAGTAGGGAAAATTAACAGTTATTTTGCAGAAAGATGAGCATATCTGCTTTTTCTGGAAGGATACAGGATCTTTCAGGGCTTATGGTGTCTCCAGCCGCGGAGAACACCCTCTCAGATGGGGTGGAGGAAGCCTGCACACAGAGGTAGTTTTCAGCCAGTCCAGATAGCAAGGGCAGCGTATCTTGCTTGTTCCACCACCACAGTGTGGCGCTATCCCTGCAGGGGATGGAGGGCAAGCTTTTATAGAGCTGGATTTCCTGATCTACCCTCTGGGCTAAGGAAAGACGGGGCTTTGATTCACAAAGTTACCGCAGCTCGTTGTCTTCCTCCTCGAATAGTTCTTCCAACTTGCGTAACTTGCGTAACTTGCGTAACTTACGTAACTTACATAAAAAACGTGACGTAAGTCGTGCTCCCCAGAGCCGGCGCTCTAGGCTCTGGTGCTGCGGGAATCGAAAAAAGAATCGTTCAGCGAGCTGCCAAACGATGCCATGGAATCGGAAAATACGGAACCGGTTCTTAACAGGAACCGGTTTTCGATTCCCATCCCTAGCAATGGATGAATGGATAGAATTCTTATACGGCATCTCACTGGATTTACATCATGAAACATCATTTCATTCATATCCATCTACACATTTTTATCTGAAAATTTCATTCAGTAAGACTTACCTTTTTACCTGGTGCAGTTTGATGCCTATCAGCAGTGTATTTCCACACAGTTTCAAGATGCTGAGGAAGTCTGTAACTCATACAGCACTGATCATAACTGAGAAAATTCAAACTGTTATGGATGTTGTTTATGGAACACCTAGATCTGAGGGACAAAGTGGGCTGTGACCTGTATTGTGGGATGAAAACATTTTTTTCTTTTTTCACTATGTGACAGTTTGCTTTCAAAGCATCTCCTACACAGTATGTTTACAACAAAGCATTGAAAATAACTTTAACACACCTGCTTGTGTTATGTTTTGTTAAATAGGTTTATAAATCAGTTCATCTGTGTGTATTTCGATTGTATAACCACAGAAAAAAAATCTGCCATCATAAATTTTGATATTAATAAAAAGAAAATGTTCCCACAAAAACACTGGCTTTTGACCAGATACATTTAATTCTTCTATTATTTCCCTCAATTTTTCCGTATTTCCTTCCTCTCTGTGTGCTCTTTGTCTGTGTCTAATTTACACACAAACAAACACACATAAACAGAACCTCTTACAGCCCTGAGGTCCTGTTTCCGGTCTGGAGTCTATGAGAGAGACCAGCCTTCATCTGTGTAGGACTGGAGCTTATTACATATGCACACATGTTTCTGTGGGCAGTGTTTGTTTGCGTGTGTGAGCAAAAACTAAGCAGTATGCTCCTAAATCTGCTTACAAAATAGATACCTCACTGTGCTTGACTTCATGAAACACAGTTTTATCTTAAATTTACGCCAAAGTTCACTGACGGAGCCCAAATGAATAAACACAGACACACATACCTATAACTACAGGATTATGACTTTCCACACTTAGCAGGGAGGCAGTCACACACAAGAAAACAACATTCTTGCATAGTGTTGCTGTTAAATTTTAACTTGCAGACAGCAGACATTTGGTCTTAACGATCATTTCAGACACCCTTTCCTTATAAAGCTACTTCAGCTTAATGATGGCTGTTTTCCATATGTGAAGCCCTCATGGTACGACACACACATACTCTCTCACATAAACAGCAAGCAAAAAGGCTGAGCTTTAAACCAGACGGATTTGCTTTCCATATTTTGGGTCTGACTTACAAGGACATTCTTTTAAAGCTGCATTTTATGAAGGAGGATTTTTTTTTTCCCCTAAAAAGAAAACAGTACTTTTGTATTAAAGGATATAATTTCAGGTAAAGGAAAGATAGTTGGCTAAAGGAAAGAAGTTTACACATAGAAAAAAAATAAAATCATGATAGCTATTAACTAATATGAAATGTTCTGTCTAAACTAGGGGTGGGTATTGGCAAAGAAGTCATGATTCGATTCGAATCATGATTCACATGCCACAATGCCATTCTATCACGATGCATCATGATACTTGAAATATTGTGATGCATCGCGATGCATTGCGATATTTTCACTGAACACTGTAAGAAAAAGATACAGCCATTACCAGTGGCTGACTGGCTGGGTATGATCTGGATAGTATCTTCAATTGATACATAACTGAAAGCAACTGAATTCATACATAGCTGTATTTATTAAAATGACTTTTGGAGGTGTTGCCATGAAAAACAAATACTGGACAGAAATATTACTATTACTGGTGTGGACACACTGACTAAAAGATCTTAGGATTCATCAAACTTAAAATAACAAAATAAGGATAATCAGTGCCGTTTACATGGCCTCAGTAGTCCTGTAAATCAATGAAATGAAAACATTCAAATGTATGACATTTCCCCTTTTGCAAATTACGTGCGTCATATCAATTTCGCTTTTACCTTCTTTGTTTTTAAAGCCAAAATGCATCCAAGCATCTGATTTGATGAAGCCGCGGGGCGAATTTTCGTAGTGTCCTCCATGTTTTATTTCATATGACTTGTCGCAGTATCCCACGGCCGGAAATGCTAGTGACACAAGGCAGCGGGCGTCAACACATCCGCAGCGACATCTGCTGGACTGGAAGTTGTATTCCACTTGATTTGGCTGATGTGCGCCAACCATTAATGTATTTTATTTGTAAATTTATTTTTTTTAATCATCGATTCTTGCCTTCAAGAATCGATGCAGTAGATCACAAAAATTAGAATCACGATGCATCGTCATGACGATTATTTTGCACAGCCTTAGTCTAAACATATTTTTTAACTACTGTATATGTTACTAGTTACGATATTAACTTAGAAATGGAGTCCCTTAATTACTATAAGTGTCTAATTAAATATTAGTTTCTAATATTGGGGACATGGCTCCTGTCAGATGAATCATTAGCATCAGCCTCTAAAACCTGCTGATCTGGATTCATACCAAACGAAGACATTGTTCAAGTATTCCAAATATCTATAAAAATATTATTTCCATATTATAAGGGGATAAAATAACACTATTCTAAATCTTAACCCTATCCTTAAACTAAAAAATATGTTGCTATGTAAATGGAGAAACAAAGGTTTAAAACTTAAATATTACCTGTAAACCGTTGAGGTGTTTGTTTTCTTTTAAATTTATTTAGATTTTTTTTATTTTTGTAGTCGGATTATAAGTAGATAATATCAGCAAATATTGTATTTCCTGTATCCAAAATAAACATAAATATCTTGACAGTAATACTAGCTAACACAAGGTTTGCTTGCAACATGAAACACAGTAATGAGATAATGCTATATACAGTACATTGCTGTATATTGTTCTTTTTCAATCTGAGTATTTAGATTAAATATTTGAAGATTTAGTAAAGAGTTAAATAATAACCTGTCTTTACTGAATGCCACTAAACTGTTTTTTTTTTTTTTTTTTTACTCATTCCAGTTACCATCACTGCCACCATGGATGAAGACCAGTGCTACTATAATGAGACTATCTCCTTCTTCTATAACCACAGTCGTAAGCCCCTTGCTGAAGACTGGAACACCGTTAGCAGGCTTGTGATGGGCCTGGGCATCACCGTCTGCATCTTTATCATGCTCGCCAACCTTCTAGTGATGATCGCCATCTACGTCAACAGGAGATTCCACTTTCCAATCTATTACCTGATGGCAAACCTAGCAGCTGCTGACTTCTTTGCTGGACTGGCCTACTTCTACCTAATGTTCAACACAGGACCAAATACTAGACATCTTACTGTTTCAACATGGTTGTTGCGTCAAGGCTTGATTGATACCAGTCTGACAGCATCAGTGGCGAACCTGCTGGCCATCGCTATAGAACGTCACATCACTGTCTTCCGCATGCAGCTACATACGCGAATGAGCAACCGACGTGTGGTGGTGGTGATCCTCATAATCTGGACTATGTCCATAGTGATGGGAGCAATCCCCAGTGTTGGCTGGAACTGTATCTGCAGTCTTAATAGTTGCTCCAACATGGCGCCCCTTTATAGCAACTCCTACTTAGTCTTTTGGGCAGTGTTTAACCTTTTGACATTTGTTGTGATGGTAACACTTTACGCCCACATTTTTGTCTATGTGAGGCAGAGGACCATGAGGATGTCGCGGCACAGCTCAGGACCACGGCGCAACCGAGATACAATGATGTCTCTGCTAAAAACGGTGGTCATTGTGTTAGGTAAGAATGATCTTTTCACATTTTTCTATCTATTACCTCTGTTAATCTTTATCTTTTGCCCTTATAGAGTTTTTTTACCCTGTCTTTTGTTACAACACTTACTTCCTTTTTAGTTCAGTGCATTGTATTTTGATGGGATTTCTATAGATCAGCAAAAAAGTTCAATCTTAATAACTTTTTGACCTCCCTCATTTACACATATACATATTTTCTATCTTGGAATTAATTTAATATAACACGATAGTTAATAACTAAAAAAATATGTTGTTTTTTTATTAACAAAACTAATGAGACAGTCCAAGCTATATTTCTGTTTCCTTGGTGTTTCGCAGTAAGGTTAAAAGATCTGTAATAATCTGTTTAAGTTCAACTAACATTTACAGCATTTAAACTGTATATATTTCAATCTTGCAAGACAATCTGTTTGTCAAAATAGTACTACTACTGTTACACTACCTGCCATAAGATTTACAAAAACAATTAACGAGCTTAGCGGTTAATCTGCAAAGCTACTGCATTCAGACCGAACAGGGTCTGCCTTGTACAACTGCAGGCGTCACATACAGTGATCTCACTCTATTCTGTCTTTTTTCAAACATGTCACAGTGCTGTGATTCAACATAAACAGTTAACACTGAATGTGTTTTTCGTCCATTTAACATGAACTACCTTTCATTGCCTTTTCCCAGTGTGTTGCTGTGTCAAAGAAAGTATTTTCTGACAAGTAAAGAGCACCACAGGTTACTTAGTCTGGTTATGGTAAATATAAACAAAATGCTGTGCTTTAGGGTTATCGATTATTGAAATAATTGCAAACTAATTTAGTAATCAGTTAATCGTTATGTTGAGTATAGAGAGTAAAACATGTATTTGGCTGAAAGAGGAACCCATCTGGAGTAGTAATTTAACCAAAATTGTAAAACAATAAATATATTTTGCATTTTAAGTTTTAAAAAAAAAGCTTGCGTTTTTCAATCTGCTCTATCCAGAACTCCTCAAGTGGAATTAGTCTATTTAGTTTAAACTGGTTTAAATTCTGCAAAAACTCTTCGTTAAAGAACCTTTTGCTATTTGATCATTAATAGATTACTCAAAAATATAATCAAGACGTTAATCAATAACCAAATGAATTGTTAGTTGCTGCTCTACTTTGCTTACTAACAAAAATAAAGTGTAATACATGGAAATAAAAAAAATAAAAAAAAATCATTCCACACGGCATGATTTCATAGGATGATCTTTAAATGCAACCATAATGAACTACTTGCGAAAAATGAGCACTATGCACAACTGCGCTGCTTCCTGAACTTAAAGGTATAGAGATCGATCTTCTATTTCTGGGTGGATCATCTAAATAATTGGTCCTCCTAATTGTCAATCATTCTGATGATATGTTTACATAAAGGTCATTCTCCATTAGCTACCTTTTTCTGCTCTGTAGATCTGTGGTGAGCTATAACCAGACGTTGCAGACAGGAAGGATCCAAAAATTAATTATCGGAATTCAGCCTCACAGAGTCAATAAATGACTCTCGTTTCCAGCTCTGGATTTGTAATTGGTGTTTCCTAATTACAAGTCCACAAGATAAACAAAAGGAACAATCCACAGAACTGCTGGTATCTGGGAAGGCAATCATTTCGAGTTCTTCAGCATTATCTGTTCATATATTTTCAGTTTTCCACACACAGTTGGAAGCATAGATGGCATCATATTCACTGCTCCTTCACTTAATGCTTTATAGTTTCTTCTTATCCTTATTGATTAAGCATTTTTCATTGCAAATACACTTTGTCCTGCTATATCACAAGGAGGGATGGAAAAAGTATCAATTTCAGCTCTATGACTGCCCTTTTTGACGAGTCATCAACTAAGGGTTCACTTTGCACATATTCATTATAATTGTTGAACAAGGCTAAACCATGCTGCATAATTTTGTAGGTAAAGTTTAAATATAATAGCTAATAATTGGACCTCATTAAACTGCATTTTTATATTTTATCTTGACTTAATGCTACATAATTTTTGCACCTAATGGGTTACACCTAGACTACACTTCATAAACCCACAGCCACATACATTATTTTTTATGCTAAATAAAGATTTTCTTGTGGATGTCAAGGTTCCTCTCTTGTTTAGGTTTCTGTGCCTTTGTAGTTGTTTTCTGGCACTGTTGTGTTTTTGTGTTACTCTCTGTTGCCCCTTTTGTGCCAGTTTCCTTTGCCTTTGGCTCCTTTCTAGCTGCTTCTGTCTCACCTGCTCCCAATTAACTGATTAGTCCTCTCTTGGTTGTGTCTGCCATATAATATTATGCTCCGCTGCAGTTCATCAGTTCTGGTTTCTCTTCTTTGCTTTGCTCCCTGTGTGTGTTTCTCTCTGTTGTCTCCTGGTTTTTGGTTTCTTTATTTTGTTCCTGGATTTGTGCTTGTTGCCATCAGAATTTAAATTAAATCTGCAAGAACCATTCTCTGCAATTGGGTCCTCAACCAACCTCCACCAAACGTTAACAGTGGAGGAAACTTTAAATCTCTTTCCAATCCCACTCAAGCATTGACTGGTCTTTGCCACATTGAATCTCCTTATTTTTTAGCAAGAACAGTATTCCCTTTTGTATTTAATATGTTCTTTTTATAATCTCTATATGGTATTGTTAATATTTGAGATTTGATTAGCAAGAGCTTAGCACTTTGAGGCTTATCTTACAATGGTGGATCATGTTTTCGTCATTCAGCTGCAGTGGGCCTCTTATAAAAACAGTTAGCCCGTAATCTGTTCTGCCGTCACTTAGAGTGAGGGTAGCTGATTGATATAACCTGTTCTGAAACAAAAAATCCTGAATATCACGAAGCAGAATAGGTTGACTCAGGATAACTTCTCTATACCCAAAAGGCTAATCTAACTTTCTGACCCTGATGTCAACACATTTCTAATTCATGTATTTTAAATACCTTAAAGTATATTTTAAGAAACAAATTGGTAAGTCTATCAATTGTGCTATGAGAAAAACAATGACATGGACATAGATTTAAAAGTTAAAGGTGTTTTGGAGGATTTCCCCGAATTTTTGAAAAGACGCACCCTCTCCACTTTAAAAAAAATGGCCATGCACAACCTGTTCCCGAGAGGGAATGCCTACTGTATGAAACATGTGCGTGAGCATGCATGAGCCCTTTCCTCTTTGTGCACACTCTGTTCACAAGTGGCTGTTTGCATAACTCATACAAGCTTGCTTTCCGAAGCAGATCTGTAATTTTTCCATTATGTCAACTGAGGCATCAGTGGTACCCCGACCTGTCCTTTCAATGTATGCCATTGCATGAAATAATCTCCCAAAAACACTCCAGTCTTGTTTCTCTCTTTTGAGGCATTTCTCTTCTTCTCATGCACTTCGTAGACACGTATTCTCTTACAATCCTCGGCCATTTCAAAGAACTGTGGTGAGAAAGAAAAGGGACAAGCATGTAGGACGGCCTTACGTAAGCATATCATCAGAATGATTGACAATTAGGAGAACAACTTATTTTGACAATCTACCCGGAAAAAGAAAATCCTCCACAACACCTTTAAATTGAAAATTAGAGAACAGAAGCAGAGTGTAGCAGGGGTAGACTTAGACTCAACTATATTTATCTTGCGGGATTACTCCTTCAGGGAAATTCTGGTTCCAGTAGCTCATATAGAGTACAGAAAGTTCAAGCAAAATGCTATTATAGAAAAAATATGACAACAATATAAAAAGAGTGTATAATACCAAAAAAGCATAAAGGAAAAAGAAGAAAAAAGTTGTAATGTCCTGGGATATGTTTCCATGAAATATAAAAATATCTGCACAGTAGAGAGCTAAGGGAAGACTACAATGTAGTTGCATAGGGAAAGTTGTCTAAATGTTTTCCTGCACCTACTGTAAAGCTTACAGCAGAAAACCAATGACAACAAAAAAACCTATGCTATTCTATATCCAAGTTTTTTGAAAACATTTTAAGGCTCACTCTTAAAAGACATGGGGCCTATCTCATAGATTAAAACTGATTTTTTTTTTCCACAGAGGTGATGCCTGATCATTAAAAGATTTGCCTCCCATTCTACCTTTGGAAATTCTATGAACCACCAGTATAGTCACAGTTTGGGAGCAATCTGATTTGTCAAGAACTTCCGTGATGGAGGTTGATTATGATTAATGATTTTATTTTACATAGCTTTTCTACAACAAAGTTGCTGCCAAATAAATTTAATCAAAAATTGCAGGAAAAGGGCTTCCGAGTGCTTCGAAACAGGATATGTTGTCCTAGACAAAACATTCCAAAGGATTCCATGTGATTTGTCTACTGCATGCTCTGTTATCTCATGCTGATGCATCTGTTGTCTTTTCCGCGGTTTTAATACAAAGCAGTGGATGGCAGAATGTTCTCTCAGTAGAAGTTGAAAACATATATTCTCAGCTGTATGAGAGATACAACACTTGGATTTATTCATGCTTGTTTAACCCCAATGAAAAGGACTGTTCAGCCTGATGGTTTATTCTTGTTTCTTAATGTTAGTGGGGCTCAGATGTGGTAAAGTTAAAATATAAAATGTGAATACACTATTTGTCACTGAGCTTTGAAGATTTTAGTGGATGGTGTACAACTTTTTATTTTATGGCAAGGCGCTAGTAAAAGCTCAGTTGCAGCTTTGTTTTCAAATCTTCTTTAGCAAATATTTCCAAAAACTAGTCCATATCGTCACACAATAATGAAATGCGAATCTAAAGCCAACCTAACGCCACTCCAGCTGTTTCTGCCCTCAGTGTTCCAAATGCCTTTGTAAACGAGTAATACTTGAAACAATTCTAACATTTCCTAATAAATCATTGCACATATGTTTCAGATAAAGACCAAACAGCATTTGTTTCACTAGAATTTAAGTCTGTGATTATGAATAATGACTACATTTTTATTATTTTTTTTTTTATTGAACGAATATACTAAGTCATAACTCAAAGCAGGCTTGATAGAATTTGGGT